AGGGACAGCCATACCTCGCCGACGTGGCCGCAGTAGCAGTAGCAGCTGCAGCAGTGGGTCGTCGTCGTAGTAGTAGTAGTAGTAGTAGTAGTAGTAGTAGTAGTAGTAGTAGTAGTAGTAGTAATAGTAGTATAGTAGTATAGTAGTAGTAGTATAGTACTATATAGGAGCAGTATATAGTGGTAGCATAATAGTATAGTAGTAGTAGTCTCATAAGTAGCACAAGTAATGATATCAGAGAGAGACAGACAGAGAGAGAGAGAGAGATATATATATATATATACATGCATATATATATATATGTTTATATCTATATTGTAGCACCCCCAAACCCTTGCCTAGGCCCCAGGCTTGGGTCCTCAGCCCATGGTGCCAAAGCCCTCTTCTTGGGCTTTGGCGGCAAGATCGCCTGAAGCACATGGTGTGCACACGGCTGCCAGCGAGCCATGGGCCCTGCTGGCACCGACATGCACTGCACATTAAGTGCCCTTCTCTCGGAGACGAAATCGCTCTGAGGCTGGTGCAGTGCCAGCCCCCCGAATGGCCACATCAGCAGCCGCCTGCAATCGTTCCGGACACCCCAAACACACCAAAACACACACATACACAGCTAGCAGCACAAACCAAGCATTGACAAGTTCACGGCCTCGTTCGGCTCCTGGATGTCATCTGCCTGACCGAGATTGTATACACACATATATATATATATATACATATGCTGAGCTGTGCCCAAGTAAGACCGAAGCCGAGGGTCTTGCACCCTCCGCATCCGAGCTTGGCTCCTGATCCAACACTTATATCTTTCAAGAGCCATGCTGATGTGCATGGCCCAATGAGCAGCAAAGCTGAGGATTGCACATCCGGCCCATGGGAACTGCTTGGCTCCTGATGAAGAAGTAATCTAGAACAACTTTAAGCACAAAGCAGGAGCACAACAAGCTGAGGAATGCACGGCTGGTGGCTCGGCCTCGACTCCTTCCTGATTCAAGGCCATGCAGGAACCACCAGCACGACAGCCTGAGGAGTGCACAGCCTCCTCGGAACCATGGCCATCGCCACCCTGACCAAGAAAGTTACTGGCTTCGGGCCATGAACCAAGAGCCTCTATATACCACCTTGGCATCATCTGCAGCGGTGCCCGGAGGTGCCTGCACATGGCATGCATGACTGTGATCCTGAGACGACAAGACAAAGAAAAGTGCAAGCCTCGACGATGCTAGCATCCTTCAGCACCAGCTGCGGGCACTTTTGCCAGCAGCCCTTCTGCTGGTCCCACATTTGCCAGCCTGGCATGCTTTGGGTTTTGTTTTGCCTTATACTATAGGGCTCGGTGTTTCGAGAAAAGCCTCGTTTCGTGGGCTCCTCCATGTCCTTCATGGGGTGCACGAAGAAGGGCTCCGATCCTGCATGGCGAGTTGATTCATGTTGCAGGCGGGACATATGATCGCCTTCTGGCCCGATGCCCCAGCCACTCTTGAACTCCCACCGGAGAACAGTGCCGGCATCGTTCTGCCAACGATGCTTGCACTTCCGACCTGACACAGGCTTTACAAAATCCTGTTATGTCGTGAAACAAATGTATAAGGGCTGGACTCGGTGCCGGAGCGAAGTCCGAAGACTCCATGCCCAGATCCCAGATGACCTTGAGCAGGTGGTCCTCCGAGGGAATGCATGAGTGTATGTGTATATATACATATATAGTATAGAGCATTGCCTAAACAAAAACCGATCCTCTGGCTCGCCAACAATCAAAGCCGCCCATGATTTCACCATGGCTCCCTAAAAGCAAAGGGCGACGAAACCACGAAGTATCGAAACACTGTTGCCAGCTGAAGCTTGCCATCTGAACCCTGCATGGACATGCATGTCAACTCGAAGTGTGCCTGCATCTGTGCATGACATGTCACCCATCATTGTGCCGAGAGCCATGCTGGCCTGCACGACACATCGGAACATGCACTGCACCTGAATGACTGCATGCATGACTGAGTGTCTTCACCATGCACCGTTCCTGTCCCTTTCCTCTCCTCTCCCCTTTTGTTCTCCATGCTCTCTGCACACCACTGTCTCCCTCTCTGTCTCGCTGTGTGTCTCTGTCTCTATATCTCTCGCCGCCTCTCTGTGCAAGCTTGCAGTGGGAAATTTTGTTCAGATTCGCTGCGAAATCAAAAAACCCAGCATTTGCGCCAACAAAGCTGCTACTCCTGCTCCTCCTCCTCCTGCTCCTCGTCGGCATTGTCAGGCTCCTTAAACCCTGCTGCCCTCGCCTTCCTCTTCCGGCGAGGCTTACACTCTTCAGCCGTGACTTGGTCCTTGAACCAGTTGATGTTATCCTCCGAAAACAAGAGCCAAATCGTCATGCTGCCGATTCCCTCGAGGAGCATGCAGCATTCGTGGCCATCCACATCCACAGTCAGCTTCGTCGGCAGGATCAAGGCATGGGTGGACGTGGCCCGGACCGGCTTGGCTTTGCGACCTTTGGGTGCTTCCTCGGCATTCTCCTCCTGCTCGGTCGCGATCGCTTGCTGAAGGAGTTCGTTGGCCTTGTTCTGCCGGGCCTCAACGAGCTTTGCAAAAATCGGAGTGTCGATGGAGCCTTTGCTTTTCCCTTGCCGGAGATCAAGGGCACTGCCCGTCAAGACTTTGACCAGGCTCCTATTCCATTTCTCGAGACAAACGAAAGTGAGCCCATCAACTTCTTTCTGCTGAGGAACACAAATCGTAGACCCGGCAGTGATCACCATCTTCTTCTCCACCGAAAGGCTCATGATGGCAGTCTACAACCGAACACAGATGGAGGCGATAGCTAGCTAGCAGCTTGAGTGGCTGCATTCACACATATATATACAGGAATGCATGCATGCTGCCTGCGAGCTAATGAAGCCCTGCACGGCGACGTGATGTGTGCATCTCATGTGAAAAGCTTTTGCAACCAATCAATGCCGAGTGCAAAAGTACACGAAGAATCGTGAATGCATGGTCGAGTCCTGTTCTACAGGGCATGCCAGCCCGGATCAGCACCTATGATACATCTGCATTCACTCATGAATGGCATCACTTCTTGGCCTTCTTAGCAGGAGGAGCCTTCGACTCAGCCTTCTCCTTCACTCGCAATGTGCACAAATGATCGCCAGCCGAGATTGCCTTGCTGTTCTTCAGCATGGGGAATCTGACGATGCTCTGGCTATTCCCTGACATGAAGGATGTCATGTTCACGAGGTCCTCCTCCTCCTGCCCTGCAATCGCGAAAAATGGCGAGATGAAGCCCTTCGTGAGGGTGTTGCCATCGTCGTCTTCCTTGGGAGCCTGGTTGCAGGACACAAGCCAAAACTCGCGATTGTCCATCTTCCAAGATGGCACGACGACCTGGACGGCCCCCGAGACTGGATCCGACTTCTTCTCTCGCATCAGGACCTTGAATGTGAATGGAACAAGCACCAGCTTGTTCTTGGCGAAGTTTGCTTTAGCAATCACAGACTTAAATGGCTTCATCTGGAGCTGCAAACTCTTGCAAACCTCATCAGACGAGTGATGACCAACCAATCGGGCCACCTCGGAGTGGATCGCTGCAACGATGCTGCATGCTTGGAAGTCGGGGGAAGCTGCAGGGCCGAAATTCTCCAGCTGGTCCAAAACCTGTGCCTCGGCTTTGGGCTTGAACACCACCCACTGGCCTGAGATGAACTCATCCATGCTAACCTTCATGAGGCCACCAGTCTTCAGCTCCTTCAGCTGAACATGAGGTGCTTTCGCTTGCATGATGACACACTCCATCTTATCCTTCCTCCTTCGGCAGAAGGCATCCTGCACGAAGCCGGAATCAGCGAGCAGATCGGAAGGGTTCTTGAGGGAGCCGTCTGGGTTGAGCTCTCGCATCCTTTCATGGGAACTGCTGCTGCTTTGGCCTGTTGCTACCTTTGTCTCTTCAGCTTGCAATGCCCAAGGCGAAGTCATGCTTAGTCCCAACATGCTGTTAAGGATGACAACCGTGTCGTGAGCAACACTCTCGGCGGCTCCGTACTTCTTCTCGCCATCGCCAGGCTGCATGCCCAGCACGACCTTGGCCATGTTGCCATCTGCTACCCCGAGCAAATTCACGACTCTGGTATAGTCCGGGTGTTCGATGCTCGGACCGCCACCATTCTGCAGCAGCTCCCTGATCATGGACATGCAACGATTTGCTGCGATCGCCTTTGGGAGTGTGTCCTTTGTGAAGATCTTCTTCATGGCCGTAGGTGTCAGCACATGGCCTGTGAGAGCCAACTTGATCATGGCTTGCCTGAAGAATGGGATCTGATCAGACCCTTTGCAATCCATGGACAGAGTCTCCCACCAACTGGTCCCCATTGGCTTGCTCTGCCCATGGGATCTCACATACATCTCCGTCTCGGTCAACATGAAGGCATCGCTGCCGCCGCAGTACCTGACAACCATAT